AATAGATGGTTTGAAACTGACCAATGACTGATGACAACTTTACATGAGTCTTACAGCTAATACCATCATGGCTAAACTGACCAATCAATTTCAACGGAGCAGATCTGTAACACCATCGACTGACAAACACTATTCACTTGACTGAAGATGACTTCTGCTCAAGTTGTCGAAATGTCAGTCACCAACAACAGTTCTTTTCAGAACTACCCTCGCCCAGACAATCAATGATTACACAATATGAACTAAAGAACATTTTGTAAGTTAAACCTACAGTGAAAAAAATTCTAATTTTTTCCTTTCTGCGCTGTACATCGTAACCAAACAAACTTGTTGGATTAACCTCATCATAACTGTTAAGAGTGAGTGCTGCTACCTCCGGGGCTTTTAATTCACAAAAAATAATTCTTGCTATGTTTTAGAAAAGTTTGGGTGATATTTTGTGATTTTACCAACTCAATTAAATGTAGATGTAGATGTAGATGTAGATGTAGATGTAGATGTAGATGTAGAAATGAAGTGCAGTAAGTACTATAGTTCAATTACCAACTTCAGTCTATATTACGAAGTTTCGGTGCCACAAGCTTTGTTAAATAAGCTTAAATCAATAAAAAATGTTGACATTAGTCATGATTGTATGTTACAACAAAATTCAACTTTTGCTCATGACGCCTTGCAGCTTTTCAAAGTAAACTGTTGTTTTTCATATCCAAAATCCAGGTTTTTAGTCATTTTAGCGTATTTGTATAAGTTATACCAGTACAAATAAATTTATAGTACATGTACATAGTTATTGTGTGGTAGTTGCGCTTGTTTTGTGACTGGATCTGGATAAGAGTCACACATACTCATGTGCCTGAGGAGATGGTTCAGCCTCAGAGAGATATCTGAGATTAAAGTGGAAAATTCCATGGTGACAATATGGATTATTACATACATACATTTTATATCTGGTACATGATTGCTTACTGCTATGTTTAGATTAACCATTCAGAGGCTACAAAGATCTTTGTAGTGCTACTTCATGTAATCCTTATGTAATTCTCCAGGTTTAATCACATGCATCTGTCTCTTTCACAGGGGAATGAAATGAACATGTGGTGAGAGATATCAGTGACATATCCAGAGGTGTTCAAAAGTGAGGTGCAGAGTTCTCAGCCCTCCAGGCTATGTATTTTACAACCACAGTGGGAGTATGGAGGACAGGTCTATAATCTCAAGGCAGACAACTTAGAAGGATATTTTTGTTTATCCTTCTAGGGCCACATAAAGTTGCATAAGCCTTAAGGCATCTTTAGGTGATTTAATTCAAGGTAACACAGTAGGCCTGGGCATGAGCTTGAACTTTCACTGACCACCATCACCTATCATCAACCATCATGCATCACTTGACCAGGTTAAGGTTAAGGAGAAAAAAGCATCTGTTTTACCTTGTAAAAGTTAAACACCAAATCCAATTCACAGACATTGTGAAAAAATTCATTCAAGACCTGGAAAAGGGAGAGAAACATGTTAAATTAGTTCTGCTTCTTCAAAAGTCACTCAGTGGTCACATTTAACAATGCAACTAACCATAATAGATGGATATGATGCTGAAGAAACACAAGCATGTGCATGCATCATTGGTTAAACCAGTTTTTATTTGGTGTTAAAC